CCTTCACCTTTATACACCTGCTCTACTTTCAGTCTTCCCCATCTCAGCTCATCCGTAAAGGCGACTAACTTCATCTTGTCAGGACAATCTTGAAGTTAGCCTTGACTTTCCTCCCTCAAATCTCCACGACTGGGTCCGTACGCGACACCTGTTGCCTCTGGCCCCAAAATATACCTAGAGTCCAAGTAGTCTGTTCTCCTCCGCCGACACCCTGATCTGAGTCTGGATCGTTTTAATAGACTCCCACCGGGTCCCCCGCCTCGCCAGGCCCGCCTCCACTCAGCCCCCAGTCGGAACGGACAAAGTACGAGGAAGTGGCGGGAGGGCCTCGGCTCAAAGCCATCGAGGCGCCCAAGCCGCGCAGGGAAGGAGCTGGCTGCTGAGGTTCGCAAACGGGAAAATCTGCAGAAACGATTAGGCGGACCACCGTCCTGCCCCGCGGCTGGGGACGCAGCGCAGGGGCCGGCGTGGGCGCGAGGAGCCCGCACGGGCGCCTGCGGGAGGCAGAGCCGCCCGCGCCCTCACCTGGCCGGCGCCGCGCCGGAACAGCACCGAGTCCTCCTGCTCCGAGACGCCGCCGCCACCTCCGCCCCCCATCGCCATGGCGAGGATCCCACCGGTGCGCGGCGTGGGCTGCTTGCCTCGGAGAATGACCATTTCCGCCGCAGGGCCCTCTGGGAGCGGAAGAGTACGGTGGCCCGGAAGCAGCCGGCGGCCTGGGGCATTCCGCGCCCTGTCTCCCAGCGGTCTCCGTCTGCCATGTTTGTTTTTCCTCTCTGTATTCTCTCAATTCTTCGATTTCACTTTTTGGTATCTTCGTAGGTTCTACCAGGGTGTTTTTGTTTTGAACGGTACCTTTTGTTTGAGAATGGTGCTCATTGCAGTGGCTGGAGTGGCTCAGCTGGTTGGAGCAGCCTCCCGTACACCAAAAGGTTGCTGAATGGGAGGGCACATAGCTTGGGGGTTGATTACCCCCCGAAGGGCGCGCATGGAAGGCAACCCCATAGATGTTTCTCTTACATCAGTGTTTCTCTCGCTCTAAAATCAATAAACAATTCTCAGGTGAGATTTTTTTTAAGTGTTTATTGCAGGTAATTTAGGAAATAATGGGTAAACCAATACAATAAAAATCACTCCATAGGTAACCGATAATACATTTCTTAAAGTGCTTTAAAGAGTGTTAGCCTTGCCCCAGCTGGTTTGGCTCAGTGCCTGGGGACCAAAGGATCCTGGGTTCGATCTGGTCCAGGGCATGTACCTTGGTTGCAGGCTCCTCCCCTGCCAGGACCCTGGTCATGGCACTAGCAGGAGGCAACCAATCAATGTGTCTCTCTCATATTGATGTTTCTCTCTGTGGGTTTTCCTCTCTCTTCCACTCTCCCTAAAAATCAATGGAAAAATATCTTCGGGTGAGGGTTAAAAAAAAAAAAATGAAATAAAGCAGTGGTTATCAATCTTCTGGCCCTTTAAATACAGTTCCTCATGTTGTGACCCAACCATAAAATTATTTTCGTTGCTACTTCATAACTGTAAGGTTGCTACTGTTATGAATTGTAATGTAAATATCTGATATGCAGGATGGTCTTAAGCGACCCCTGTGAAAGGGTCCTTTGACCGCCAAAGGGGTCGCGACCCACAGGTTGAGAACCATTGGTTAGAGCATTGTACTGATGAGCCAAGGTTGCAGGTTCCATCCTGGATCAGGGCACATACAAGACTCAACGAATGAATGCATAAGTAAGTAGAACAACAAATCGATGTTTCTCTCTCTCTTCCTCTTTCTAAAAATCAATAAAAAAGTTAGGTCCAGAAACATAGAAGCATCGAACAGCATCAAACCTCAGAAAGCGGGGAGGGTGGCTGGGGGACTTGTATGCATGCATATAAGCATAACCAATGGACACAGACAGTAGGGGGGTGAGGGCATGTGCTGGGGGTGGGAGCGGATGGGGGAGAGGTCAATGGGGGAAAAGAAGACATATGTAATACTTTCAACAATAAAGAATTTAAATTAAAAATAAATAAAAGCAAAAAAGATTTAAATCTTAATTTTCCTGGGCAATTGGTCCAATAACAAGCTGTGAACTTTTAATGTGTATAATGAGCGCTTTGTAAAAGGTTTTGTTTTTAAGAAGTAAAGTTGTAAGGGAAAGCCTGTAGTAAGTTTTAAATATTCCTGGAATTAATAAGGAAGTGCATTTGAGCAACTTGTAAGTCATTCTTCTTATCTCACTGACATTTTCATGACTTGGCCATCTGAAAAGACAACATCTTTCAATATGTTATTATTATAAAGCAAGTATTTTAGCAGATGAAGCTGTAGGAGGCAGTTTAATAACTGTTCTTATTCCGTTTTGATCTAATGAAAAACCATGACAATCATAAAAATAATTTTAATTGAATTTTTGGTGTTTATAGATCTTCATCACCAAAATTAGGAATTTACCTAAAGAAGTTGACATACTCCCTGCTTAGTTCTCTCCCTGTTAAAACCATTACACAGATGGTAAAATGTACAAATCATCTGATTGTCAAAGCCAATTTTATATTAGGTTTTCACTTTAGGGATATGTCCCCCCCACCCCCAGTTTTATTGAGGTATGATTGAAAAATGAAAAATGCATATATTTAAGGTGATAATTTTATGTACACTGAGTGGCCAGATTATTATGACCGGCCAGATTACACTTCCAAAAATACTGAATATTGAAAACTTCCTAAGCAAATACTCTCAAGGTTTTGTTATTATTATTAGTTGCATAACTAATTCACTTCATTGTACTGATGGGGTGGTCATAATAATCTGGCCGGTCATAATAATCTGGCCACTCAGTGTATATCATTGTGGGGGATATTCTTTTTAAAATTCAGTAGTTTTGAAACAGATTATAGACTCAAAACAAACAGCAGTAGTACACCTGACTTAAACAAAAAAGCTCTCTTTATAAGGTGGAACTTGAAAATATAACACGAAAATATATTTTCACTTTCCAGAATGGGCAAACTCTTTCCATCTATAAAAACATGGGGAAAAAGAGCAATATATATATATATTTAAAGTTAGAAAAATAATGCTAGTAATCAATAGTTCCTTTTAGCCCAATTTCAAAAACAGCCTAGTTTGATAAGTGGGTAATAATTTCTTACACTGCCACTAATAGAAAAGGCATTCGAAAGGAATCAAGTAACTGATGAAACTGACCTCAGTATATCACCTTGGGCAGTAGCAGCTGCTCCCTCTTATTTTCAGCAGGACTTACGAAGATTGCTAATTATAATGCACTACCTCCTATTAAGGATGATGTAACATAGTATTTTTAATAAGGGTGTTTCATGGATTTTGGTATTTTTCAAATTACATTGTAAAGTTGGTACTACTTCATCTAAATAATTTTATCTTGCTTTGGTAACAACTCAAAGGAATAACTTTGCTGACTTGTTCCAATTATTCACCTGTATTTTCCCCTTAATATTTTGTAATTAACCAGTTTCCCTCTTTAAAAGTTTAGATACTTTAATTACTTTGTTTAAATATGCTACATGAAAAGAAACTAAAGTGTCAGTATAGTCCTACCTGGTTTGGCTCAGTAGATAGAATGTTGGCCTATAGACAAAGGGTCCGTTGCAGGCCAAGGGCATGTACCTAGATTACAGGCTCAATCCCTGGCCCTGGTTGGGGTCCATGCAGGAGGAAACCAATCAATGTGTCTGTCTCACATCAATGTTTCTCTCTCTGTCTCCCCCTCCCTTCCACCCTCTCTAAAAATCAATGGAAAAAAATATCCTCTGGTGAGGATTAACAAGATAATAAAGTGTCAATATAGTTCAGCAATTACCCTTAATTTTCTCCCTTTTCTATAAGAAATGTCTGGTGATGTTGAAGGTAAAAATCAAACCCTGTATTTTAACAGTTAATTTATTCAAGTAAATACCATAACATGAATAACATACAGTTTGGATATGTCTCAATGATTAATTATAACCCAGAGATCTTCTTTATCCTAATACAGTGGGGCCTTGACTTACGAGTTTAATTCCTTCCGAGACCGAGCTTGTTAACTCAAATTACTCTATTAACTCAATGCAAAAAATCGGCGGAGAGATAGCTGGTATCTCAAAAAACTCGTTAGTCGGGACACTCGTAAGTCAAGGCCCCACTGTATTTATTATGTTCTTTGGGAACTGTAGTTTTCCCTAGATTCATAAGAATTGTTTAACTTTTTAAAAAGTCCAAAGTAATTCCACTACATGGGCTATCTTAAATATGAAAATTATTCATTAAAAGAAAGCAAATAAAGGATATGGCTTAAAGCATAAAAAGTTCTCTGTACTCATGGCTTATCACTCTGTGTAGAAATTCTAGAGATAGAATTACAGAAATCAGACCCATAAAGAATCTTTGTGGTACAATTAGACTTCTTCATTATTCTTTTCATTAGAATGTAACCTAAGCTACTATAATCCTTTCCCCTTGTGACTACCCTCATATAACATTTTGAAGACTGAAATTAACTGAATAAATAGAACAAAGCTTTACTTTAACTGAAAATCTGTGCTAATATGAAGATAAAAACTGAGGCTAAACAATTTCATGTTTGCCTCATTCAGTATTCGAGACACTTAGGATTCTGTCCTATTTATGGGTAGTACAATTGGTTAGTGACCTATCACAAGATTACCAGAACCTTCATTAAGACACTAAGAGATTCGTATCCCACTTCTGACACCAAAAAAAAAAAAAAAAGACACTAAGAGAATTCTGAAGTTCTGGCCATTAGCATAGAGGTAGACATATTAGATGATAAGTAAAAATTTGTTTAATTGTGTGATGTGAAAATTCAAGTATTTGAATAATACTTTAAAGTTATCTTATTTACTACTTCAATGGCATTTTTATTCTTTGCAATAATTATGCATATTTACTTCAGAGAAGAACGAAGTCTCTAACCTTAGGTACTCTAGGTTTATTTTCAAATTTATAAACATCATTAAGTCACCAGTTGTTTTGTTTTGTTAATTCTCACCAGAGGATATTTTTCCATTGCTTTTTAGACAGAATTGAATGGAGGGAGAGAGAGAAACATTGATGTGAGAGAGATACAATGATTGGTTGCCGCTGGCACGCACCTGACCTAGGTTGGGGATAGAACCCACAACCCTTTGGTGAGGGCCATCACTCCAACCACTGAGCACAATGGCCAGGGAAAGTCACAAGTTTTTTGAGTCTCAGAACAGACTGAAAAACTGGCACTGTTGTCCAGCTGGAGTGGCTCAGTTGATTGAGCATCACCCTGTGCACGGAAAGGTATCGGTTTGATTCCCAGTCAGGACACATACCTGGGTTATGGGTTTGATCCCTGGGGCACATATGGAAAGCAACTGATCTATGTTTCTCTCTCTCCCTCTCTCTCTAATCATGTCCTCGGTGAGAATTAGAAGAAAAAAAGAACACACTCTTACAACATAAAAGGTGAATCCTAATGTAAATTATGTACTTGTGTGATAATGCTGTGTTAATGAAGGTTCATCAATTACAACAAATGTACCACTCTGGTGGGGGAATATTCATAATGGGGGAGACTATGCAGGGGATATATGTAGGGGCAGGGGGCATATGGGAAATCTCAATTTTGTTGTAAAACTAATTCTGCTAGAAAAAATTATTATTGTTATTTTTTAAAGGCACTTATTTAAAAAATGTTAAAGCTCTAAAGTAAAACTCTTACTAGTACTGAGACCCATTTAGTTTATGGTCATTTAGTTCCAGGTCATTTGTACTATATTGTAAATTCTTCAAGCACACCAGTTGATTATAAAGCAAAATCCTAAATTCTATTATATAATAAAGTTGACTTTAAAAACCTACCTTAACAAAGTTTTAAGACAAAGATTGTAGATTTATATAAGAACTCCTATTATCTGATCACATTATCTCTCTAGTTATATATGTGCTCACTGCTGATAAAAAATAATGTTCACCAACATGTCACATGCATGGTTAGTGTTTTATTCTTTGAAGAACGGTTCTGAAACATTACACTAAGTCAGACTGAAAGGTAAAGTTTAAAATAGTTTTTATAAAGATATGTTGTAACATGTAATGACTGTTCACTCTACAAAATCTTGATCATAGAGCTTATAATACACCTAGTTGGCAGTAGTACCCAGGTTTTCCAAATTGTCAGTCATCATTTTTCTCTTGTCTGCATAGATTTCTTCTCATCAGCTGCTTTCTGCTTTTGTTGCATGATCTCAGAGTCTCTATAATGGGAGAAAAGGCTGTAAGTTATTACAGAAAAGCTGATTACGTTCTCACTTGTGTTCTGTATATAACCCATTCAGTATGTTAGATGGTATTTTTGCTAAATGAAGTTCTAATGGTGTGGCAGAGTTGCATGAGGTTCTTTACAAATTATAGCTTAAGAACTTTAAGTTCTTCATCCATGGGCTGGGATGATAACTATCCGTATAGTTTTAGTACGTCTGGCACACAACAAATATTCAACTGTTACCCCTTTCTGCAGGTTAGGCCTAGTTATACCAATAATTTTAAAAAATGCATTCCATTCTCCACAAAGAAAACTTCAGTGACTGAGAATTTCATTAGCATCACTGACCTCTGTTTTCTCTGAGAGGCAGTCAAACTATCATCTTTTCTTTTTCCCTTGCTAATTTCCTGGGATTTCTTCATGTTTTTCTGGCGGGCAAGTTCTCGTTGATTTCCACCTACAAAGAAAAACAGTCATGCTCTGTACCCATCTCCAAAATTGTTCATTTCAGTATAAGGCTCTTAAGTGCATCTGAAGTTTGCTTTTTTAATAGACGAGCCAGCAAAGTACGGCACTGAGTGGTGTTCTCAGATCTGACTACAAGGAGGGAGCATAAAGGTAAATACTTAAGATCTTTAAGAGTATTATACCAATCAAGGTGTTCACTGGCTGCAAATGCCAGATCTCTTAAAAGGGCATTCCATTCCAACCGTCTATATATGCGTCAGTATTCCAAAGTTAGTTCTGGCTTCTGCGGGGTGTGGGTGGAGTGAGAAAGCTAGATACACAGAGACCACACTTCGCACAAGCTGGCCCATCACAAGCCAACTCTTAAGCAAGACGCCTGTGAAACATTACCTGCGAGGGCTAAACAAAAGAACTAGGGAGGAGACTGGGTCGGAGCTCCGGGTGTTTATTAGGCCTGATGAGGTTCAGTACCAGCTATAAACCACCTCCGGACCCGGACCCCTGCGGAGCGGCCGTCTCACACCCCTCGCCTCCGGGCAGGGGTTCTCCACCGTGTAATCTCGCACCGAGGGGCAGGCACCCGCCCAGGCCCGATCGGAACCCACCGTCCCTCTCTGCTGTCTGAACACAGGGTACGAAGGGGATTCCCCGCCGGCCCCTGGCCCCCCGCCTGCCGCGCCGGGGTGACCCACTGGCTTCCCTGCCGCTTCCCCAACCCGTCCGCACACTCACGGGCCATGCCGACCACCGCACAGAGCCCGGAAGAGCGACTCGGAAAAGCACGGGCTGCCTCGCGCGCTCAGCAGACGTCCATCGCCAACGGGTCTTTTAGGCGGGTCATTCCGCCAGCTTTTTGATTCTCTTATTTGGCACTTTTTATTACTATAACCTCACAGATCTATTTTCCTGTTTGTACATTTCATGCATCCATAGTACTCGACTCGCCTTTGTTTATTTATT